AGAATACTGGAGTGGGTTACCATACCCTCCTCCAGGGGATCTTCCCAGCCCAGGGATCAAACCCAGGTCTCCTGCATTGCAGGCAGATTCTTTACTGTCTGAGCCACCAATACAACCATGTTTGGATTTTTATTACCATGGATTTATTTTTCTGGTTTTTATACATAATATAAATGGAATCATACAAATGGTTTACTTTTTTATTTTTCTGGCTTCTTTAACTCAACGCTCAGTGAAAATCAACTAAATTGTTGCATATTACTGTTCATTTTGTAAAAATCCCTATCTAGCATTCCACTGTATTACTCCTGCATTATCAACATCTCCCACCAGAGCGGTGCATTTGTTACAACTGATGAACCTACTTTGACACATAATTATCATCTGGAGTCTAAAGCTTACATTTAGTTTCATTCTTGATGCTGTACATTATATGAGTTTGGACAAATTTATAATGACATATATCTACCATTTGGAGCTTCCCAGGTGGCACTAGTTGTAAAGAACCCATCTGCCAGTGCAGGTAGACATAGAGATGTGAGTTCAATCCCTGGGTCTGGAAGATCCCCTGGAGGAGGACACGGCAACCCATTCCAGTATTCTTGCCTGGGAAACCCCATGGACAGAGGAGGCTGGCACACACACACACAAACACGTATCCACCATTTTAACATTATATAGAGTAGTTTCACTGTCTTAAAAATCCTTAGTGCTCTGCCTACTCATCCTCCTTTCCCCCTCCAACCCTTGATAACTGCTCTCACTTTTGCCTTTTCCAGAATGTCATATAGTTGGAGTCAAACAGTAGGTACCTTTCCAATTTGGCTTCTTTCACTTACTAATATGCATCTTCCCTCGTAGCTCAGTCAGTAAAGATTCTGCCTGCAATACAGGTTCAATTGAACCTGGGTTCAATTACTGGGTCGGGAAGATTCCCTGAAGAAGGAAATGACAACCCATTCCAGTATGCTTGCTTGGAGAATCCCATGGACAGAGGAGCCTAGCAGGCTACAGTCCATGGGGGTCACAAGAAACAGACACGACTTAGCAACTAGACCACCTCAAGGTTCCTTGATGTCTTTTTGTGACATAATAGTTCATTTCTTTTTTAGCACTAAGTAATATTCTATTATCCAGACATACCATAGTTTATTTATCCATTGTTTATTTTTTAACTATTTCTTTAAAGAGCAGAATATTTAATTTTTAATGCATCACATTATTTTTTTTCATGTATAGTTAGTGCTTTTTGTGTCTGGTTTAATAAACCTCCACTTAGCCCAGAGGTTGCAATTATATTCTCTTAAGTGTTCTTTAAGTGTTCTTCTAGAAAATGTATAAATTTTACATTTGGATCTATGATCACTGTCAATAGAACTGGTGAGAATTAATATGCTTGCCTTGGTCTTAGGAGAAAAGAATTTTATATTTCACTAGTGTGAAATTATATATTTCACTAGTGTGATGTTATCTATTACTGTTTAACAATCTAACACAGAACTTAGTGGCTAAAAACCATACTGATTTATTGTTACTCACAAATCTGTATATCAGCTAGAGGCTTCCTTTGCTAGTTTTTCCTGGGATAACTCATATGGATGCTTTCACCATAACATACAGTTCAGGTTTAGGCTCAGCTGGGGTGCTAGAGCAACCAGGCCTTTCTTCATTAAACCCCAGGGCCTTTCTCTGCACATTTTTTCCCATCTTTCAGTAAGTCGGCAAGACTTTCTTACAGGTCTATAAGAGCATTTCAAGCAAGCCAAAACAGAAGCTGTAAGGCCTCTTAAAGTCTAGCCCAGAAGACACACAGGAACATTTATAATATCAGATGTATTAGTCAACAGACAGTGCCAGCTTAAATTTAAGGAGAGAAAATAGGCCCCACCCCTTTTGGGAGGAGTAATATGCATTTAAATAAATGTGAGAATTGTAGGTAGCCAACTTTGCAGAAAAATCTACCACATTACCTGTAGATTTTTAAATAGATGTCATTTCCCTTACAGGGAAATTCCCTTGGATTCCTAGTTTGCTGAGAATTTTTTATGATGAGAGTGTGTTGAGTTTAATCAAATGATTTTGTTATATCTATTGAAATGATCATATAGCTTCCCTCATTTGTTCTGTTAATGTCCTGATTTATATTTCTTGGTTTTCAATGCTAAAGCAACTTTAATAGCTGCTATTTATTAGGGACCTACTAGGTGTCAAGAATTTTATATGGATTATTAACTCATATTTATCCTGAAAAGTAGGCATTATCTTCCCCATCATATAGATAAAAAAACTGAGTTTCAGTGTTGGAGTTACTTACCCAGGGTTACTGAGCCAGTGAGTGGAAAATCCAGGACCCAAGTATAGGTCAGCTGACTCTAAAATCAATGTCTTTCTTCTATATTCTGGTAGCAGAGTACTTAAAAAGAAGGTGGAAAATTTCTGGAGGCCAGTTCCTCTAGTTTCAATATTTATATGTATGTCTAATCTTTGAACTTATTTTTTTTCTCTTTCTTTTTCATGTTTTAAATTATGAAAGCATAATAACATTTATAGGAGACTTTTTGGTTCTACTATATATTATAATTATTTTTTAAGTACATAAATTAATATTTTTAGTTGGAGTTTCAATATCAAGCTCTCAAAACTAATAGGATGAATATACAGAGAAGTAGAAGGATATAGTGGACCTGAAAAGCACTATGAACCAATTCAACATAATTAAGATTTGTATAATTTTCACACAACAGTAAAATACAAATTCTATTCAAGTTCCCATAGACTATAAGCTAGGAGACACTGGAATATATCCAGGGACATAAAATAAGGTGCACAAATTTCATGGTCCAAAGGTATTGAAAGCTTTTCTTTATATATGGATCTAGTGTTGTCCACTTTAGCCTTTGACAGTGCACATTTTTTTAAAACACTGAAACTCAAAATATTAAGTAAAACTGGAAATGACTAAAGCTGGAAGATTTTAACTTTCCTCTCAGACTCAAGTCAAATTAAGTCTAGAAATACGTGAACAAACATTACATCACAGAACATTCGACCCCAAATTCTATTGCTACTGACTCCCAAATGTTATTAGACAGTATAATAACACCCAAAATAGTGTATTATGTTTCCATCAAACACAGCAAATGATCTTAGCTATGATGAAAGTGCCAAATTATAGTGGACCTGTGACTCAAAAATTGCAACTCTTCCTATACTAGTATTCTACTTAAAAATACACTGTTGGGACTCCCTGGTGATCCAGTGTTTAAGAATCTGCCTTCCAATCCAGGGGGTGCTGGCTTGATCCCTGGTGGGGGAACTAAGGTCCCACATGGCATATGGTGCTACCGGCATACATACATATATATCTTGAAAATTGTCCTTTGTCATATAACACCAGGAAAATAACATTCTGTCTTTAGTCATACTGAGTGAATTTAGTCATATTGAGCCATATTGAGAAGTTATCTGTAGTCCACCAGAATATCCCCACTGCACGAGACATATTTTTATAAGTCACAGTACAAAGGAAGTCCTTTCTGGTGTAATAGTTATAAAGTTATGTCTCTATGTTTGTCAGTGTCTGTAAATAACAGACTCATGAATATAAGACTTTATAATGAATCATATTTAGAAACAATCCTCGGATACCTAAAACATATGTTCATGTCTTTTACTGTGCAATAGCTATTTCTCCATTAAAATATTTCTATATATCACATCTGTGTAATGTTCTGAATTTGCATTCTAAAGAGGGCAGTTGGCTCTTTAACAAGTGGTGCTGGGAAAACTGGTCAACCACCTGTAAAAGAATGAAACTAGAACACTTTCTAACACCATACACAAAAATAAACTCAAAATGGATTAAAGATCTAAATGTAAGACCAGAAACTATAAAACTCCTAGAGGAGAGCATAGGCAAAACACTCTCCGACATAAATCACAGCAGGATCCTCTATGACCCACATCCCAGAATTTTAGAAACAAAAGCAAAAATAAACAAATGGGACCTAATGAAACTTAAAAGCTTTTGCACAACAAAGGAAACTATAAGCCAGGTGAAAAGACAGCCCTCAGATTGGGAGAAAATAATAGCAAACGAAGCAACAGACAAAGGATTAATCTCAAAAATATACAAGCAACTCCTGCTGCTCAACTCCAGAAAAATAAATGACCCAATCAAAAAATAGGCCAAAGAACTAAACAGACATTTCTCCAAGGAAGACATACAGATGGCACAAAAACACATGAAAAGATGCTCAACATCACTCATTATCAGAGAAATGCAAATCAAAACCACAATGAGGTACCATTACATGCCAGTCAGGATGGCTGCTATCCAAAAGTCTACAAGCAATAAATGCTGGAGAGGGTGTGGAGAAAAGGGAACCCTCTTACACTGTTGGTGGGAATGCAAATTAGTACAGCCACTATGGAAAACAGTGTGGAGATTTCTTAAAAAGCTGGAAATAGAACTGCCATATGACCCAGCAATCCCACTTCTGGGCATACACACCGAGGAAACCAGATCTGAAAGAGACATGTGCACCCCAATGTTCATCACAGCACTGTTTATAATAGCCAGGACATGGAAGCAACCTAGATGCCCATCAGCAGACGAATGGATGAGGAAGCTGTGGTACATATACACCATGGAATATTACTCAGCCATTAGAAAGAATTCATTTGAATCAGTTCTAATGAGATGGATGAAACTGGAGCCCATTATACAGAGCGAAGTAAGCCAGAAAGATAAAGACCATTACAGTATACTAACACATATATATGGGATTTAGAAAGATGGTAACGATAACCCTATATGCAAAACAGAAAAAGAGACTCAGATGTATAGAACAGACTTGTGGACTCTGGGAGAAGGCGAGGGTGGGATGTTTCAAGAGAACAGCATCGAAACATGTATATTATCTAGGGTGAAACAGATCACCAGCCCAGGTTGGGTGCATGAGACAAGTGCTCGGGCCTGGTGCACTGGGAAGACCCAGAGGGATCGGGTGGAGAGGGAGGTGGGAGGGGGGACCGGGATGGGGAATACATGTAAATCCATGGCTAATTCATTTCAATGTATGACAAAAACCACTGCAATGTTGTAAAGTAATTAGCCTCCAACTAATAAAAATAAATGGAAAAAAAGAAAAAAGAAAAAAAAAGAGAGAAGTTGGGCCAATATTAAGAAGTGGCCTTATTTAACTCAGATATTACCAGTGGTATAATGTGAAGAATGATATTTTCTTCTGTCAAGAAATATTTCTGCCACATATCCCTCACTGCTTATTATTTGCCCATTTGGATTGGCAATCTCTTTTAAAATGTAAGCAACCTAAGGGTCAACAGATTAATCCAATGATAAACTGCAGTAGCAATCTAAGATATCCATAGTGCTCTATATTTTATTAAGAATAACTATACTTTAGAAATTATAGTTGGGGAATTATTTCCACCTCCTTTAACTTATTTGATTTTCATCAGAACCATATGATTTATTTGGTTATAGTAGTACTAGTAGTTAATAGTAGCAGCAATAATAATGATATTAATGATGAAACCCTTATATACCACATACTATGAGCCAGTGTTTTAAGTACTTTATGTATATTAACTCATTTGATTATCCCATCAGCCTTACACAGTAGCTTCTATTTATATTACCATTTTTAAAGATGATAAAGCCAAGTCATGGAAAAGGTAAGCACCTTGCCCAAGGGCACTGGACTGGTGAGCAGTGGAAAAAAAAAAAAAAAGAAAGCTGCTCAGTGGTGTCCAACTCTTTGCAACCCCAAGGACTGTAGCCCTCCAGGCTCCTCTGTCCATGGGATTCTCCAGGCCAGAATACTGGAGTGGGTAGCCATTCCCTTCTCCACAGGATCTTCCTAACCCAGGGGTCGAACCCAGGTCTCCTGCATTGGCAGGTGGGTTCTTTACCATCTGAGCCACCAGGGAAGCAGTGAACCAGGATTCAAATCCTGGCAGTCTGTTTCTAAGGGCCTAAGCTCTTAACCGCTTACTGAAGATCATTTGTTTTTTTATTTACTAAGTGGTTATTTGCTGAGTACATACTGTATACCAGATACTCTTCAAGGCCTTGGAGATACAGCAGTGCGCAAACAGATTTGGTATCTCCTCACAAAGAGCTTTCATTCCTGAAGCAAGAGACATAGCAAATAGAAATTTCACTTTGTTACAAGTTATACAAGAACAACAGAGGAAAATCCCTGGCAGTCCAATGGCTAAGACTCCGAGTTCTCACTGCCTGAGGGCCCTGGTTCAATTTCTGGTCAAGGAACAGAGATCCCACGAGCCACACAGTGCAGCCAAATAAAATAAAATAGACAAGGTTATGTGAAAGACAGTGGTGGAGACTTAGTTGCTTTTGAGAAGAAAACACTGGGGCTGAGAATAAACAAGAGGAAAACAGCTGCCCTGTGTAAGATTTCATGACAGAGTTTATTCAGGAAGTAAGAATAGCAATAGCTCTAAGGGGAGAATGACTTTGAAAAGTGAGGAAGTGAATGTGAATTTGAGTTAGAATTGGAGAATGGGGAGAGCAAGTATCAGAATAGGAGATGCCAAGGGGGCTTGTTTATATGGATGGACTGTGGATTTTGCTCTGAGTGAAATGGGAAGTTATGGAAGGTTTTTAGCAGAAAAGCATCCAGATATTAAAAAGCAGAGACATTACTTTGCCAACAAAGGTCCATCTAGTCAAAGCTATGGTTTTTCCAGTGGTCATGTATGGATGTGAGAGTTGTTCTATAAAGTAAGCCGAGCACCAAAGAATTGACGCTTTTGAACTGTGGTGTTGGAGAAGACTCTTGAGAGTCCCTTGGACAGCAAGGAGATCAAACCAGTCCATCCTAAAGGAAATCAGTCCTGAATATTCATTGGAAGGACTGATGCTGAAGCTGAAACTCTAATACTTTGGCCACTTGATGCAAAGAACCGACTCATTAGAAAAGACCCTGATGCTGGAAAAGATTGAAGGTGGGAGGAGAAGAGGATGACAGAGAATGAGATGGTTGGATGGCATCACCGACTCAACGGACATAATTTTGAGCAAGCTCTGGGAGTTGGTGATGGACAGGGAAGCCTGGCAGGCCGCAGTCCATGGGGTCGCAAAGAGTCGGACATGACTGAGCGACTGAACTGAACTGATCAAGATCTGATTTCAATTTAAAAAGGCGATAGCTGGCTGCTTTGTGAAGAAAGAATTTCATAGAATTAAAAGCGGAGACCAAAAGACCAGTTAGAATATTTCAGTGGCTCACAGGAGAGATGAGGGTGAGGTGCAGAGTGGTGGCAAGAGAGATGGTAAGAGGTAAATGGATTGGAGGGCGTGTTGTGAGCTCAGAGTGAGGAGAAAACCTCGATGAAAATTTAAATTGTCCTGACTCTAAATTTATGCACATATTATCTGCCCCTAAAAAGTGAATTTCAATTCTAGCAGCAGGAAGCAAAGATGTTCATTGTGGGAACCAGGGAAGATGAGGGAAACATGACGGGTGAATGAGGTGGGCTGCCACAGTTAGGGGCTTTAGGCAGCCAAAGGTCTCTCTCTAGATTTGGGAAAGCAAATATTTCAGACTACATCATAGTAGAAGATCCCATTTAGCCTGCTCATTATAGAATGAGGCTAGATAGACTTTTTCCTCTCAAGGGACATACACCCCTCAAATTGACAAGCTTCATAGAATTCAATCAGCTGAATTAAAATTTTCATTTGCTTCTTTAATAGAGAGTGATTTAGCAGAGTTCTGCCATTTTCCTTTCAAAGAAGGCTGTGTATAAGCAAAGTGTATGTCTCCTGAGCGTCCCAGCCAGTGTAGTGCGCTGTGAAAGCCTGATAAATGTTCCATCACTCTAATGGCCTAAGACTTCTTCCTGGATGTCCTTAGGCTTTTCTCTGGGGTGTAAAGACTACATTATTCTGGGAAGCAGTAACTGTAATGGTTTGGTCAATTAGTATAAGTATTAGCTGTGACTAGGTCCAAATGATGAAATTGTAGTTTTAAGCATTTTGGATGTAAAGCACAATATATCTAAAACCTCTTTCATAGATTAAATCAGGTTACAGCCAATATTTTATCAAACTCCATTTAACAAAGCAGGCCAAGACTTGGAGGATCACTCTCTGTCAACCTTGTTTCTCCTTTGCTTCCCTTCTCTTGTCAAAACTTGTTCTAAAGAATTATAGATTTGAAAGTCATTTGCAGAAATACAAATGCCTAGTAAGACTTCAGGTATTTGCTCCTCCAGGGAGGTTCTTGTTTTCACAGGGAAACAAGAAATCTTGAGCCAAAAGAGTGAATTTGGCCACCAATGAAATGAGTGGAGCAAATAAATTAAATGCTACTGTATTCATTAGGGTACTCCAGAGAACCAGTAAGATGTTTGCATGCATGTATATATGCACAGAAAGAGATTGACTTTAAGGGATTACTTACATGATTATGGAGGCTTGCAAGTCTAAATCTGCAGTGTGGGCCAGCAGTCTTGAGACCTAGGAGAGCTGATGTTGCAGTTCCAGTCCAAAGGCACTCTGTGGGAATATTCCCTCCTGCTCAAGAAGGCTGGTCTTTTTGTTTTACTTACACCTTGAAATGACTGGATTAGGCCCACCAACATTAGGAGGGCAATTGGCTTTACCCAAAATTCACTGATTTAAATGTTAATCTCATTTAAAATCATCCTCCAAGTTGACACATAAATTTAACCATCACACCGACCTTTAATAAGAACTGTTAAATATATGGGTCTACAGACAGTCCCTGGTTTACAATGGTTCAACGTTATGATGGCATGAAAGTAAAACACGTTTAGTAGAAATTGTGCTTAGAATTTTGATCTTTTCCCAGGTTAGCACTGTGTGGTCCCATACTCTTTCATGATGCTGGGCAGAGGCTCCCACTGCAGCTCCTGGTCAGCCACGTGATCTCAACTCATATACTTATAGCCATTCTGTACCCACACAACCATTCTGTTGTTCACTTTCAGTACAGTATTCAATAAATTGCATGAAATATATAACAGTTCATTATAAAATAGACTTTGTGTTAGATGGTTTGCCCAAGTGCAGGCCAATGTAAGTGTTCTGAGTATGTTTAAAGTAAGCTATGCTAAGCTATAGTGTTCAGTAGGTTAGATGTATTAAATGCATTTTCAATTTATGATATTTTCAATTTACAATGGGTTATCAGGACATAATTCCATCATGAGTTAAGGAATATCTGTATTTGTTTACTTCTTATATGATTTATATCCCCCATTATATTTGCTACTCTTTGGTTTGCAGTTCTGTTCAAACCACAGATAGTCATGTACATACCTTCATATTTGAAATGCTGGTTTATAGTCATGTACATACCTTCATATTTGAAATGCTGGTTTAACTCCTATTCGTATATCGGTATGATAAAGAACGTATCAAGAGTTGTTGACCATGTCCAATTGGGCATATATTGACCCTGTATTAGATGGTACAAATCATAGGAGAAATCGAAAGTAAGGCATAGTTATTATTGTCATATGAAAGGCAGAATATTAATGCACTTATCTTAAAAAATGATAAGCACAATGCAGGTGGATTCAGAGAAGGGGAACATGACATCCCAATGAGAGAATATATCCATTTTTTTCTTCTTTCCTTCAGCAAAAATTTATGAAGCTCTACTATAGGTCAACCACTATTTTACATTCTGAGATAGAGTAGTAAAACATAAATGAATTTCCTAGCCTATTGGAATTTACTTTCTAATGAGGGAGACAGACACCAAACATGAAAACAAGTAAGTAGGATGATTTTAGGTCCTGATAGTATTTTAGATAGCAACAGGTAAGATTTTTAAAATTAAATGGAGTATCAGGAGAGACTACCAATGCTGTTGCCGCACACGTGCTTAATTGTGCCTGACTCTTGTGACTCCGTGAACTGTAGCCCACCAGGCTTCTCTGTCCATGGGATTTCCCAGGCAAGAATACTGGATTGAGTTTCCAGTTCCTCTTCCAGGGTATCTTCCCAAACCAGAGGTAGAACCTGCATC